TATATATATATATATATATATATATATATGAATTATATATATATATATATATATGAATTATATATATATATATATATACATATATTAATTGTATATATAATCCTAATATAATATAATACTGTAAATATTTATAAAACTACATTTTTTTAATATTTATAATTATGATATTTCAAAATTTGTTTCATGACGGACATATTGTAATGCAAACCAATCATACCCATGTCCAAAGTGTGCTATATATAAATTCAAAAAATTTAAGAAAGTGATATGCAGAGATAAAAAAACATAATAGGTCAATTTTTTTAAATGAATTCTTTATTTGTAGATATAATAATTTCTAATATCTTTTTTACAAAATGTGTTATATATCAATTTATTACTCTCGATCCTTCGAGAAACAAAACTAACGATGTCCAAAAGGAAGATTCCAATGGCGCATAATTCCAGAATGTTCCAGAACAACCATCTGACCAATAGGAATCATATACTGCAGCGCCATGATTGGTGAATTTGCAGCAGAAGTTAGCAGAAAGAAGTAATCACAGTTACCGTGCGAAGGGCATTTCATTCAGACTATTGCGTGAGTGAAGAACAAGAATTCAGAGAACTTGTGAATTCAGCGTATACAATAAGTACTAACGCGTATTCTAAACAATTATTAATCATTTATACATCCTTTTCGAGAATCGGTATTTAACATTTGATTTAAACACGATAGTTTATTCAATATCGTAAAGAAAACGTACTAGTCTATCAGCCATGGCTGCTATGTCCGTGATCGGAATTGACTTCGGTAACGAAAGTTGTTATGTGGCTGTAGCACGCGCAGGAGGCATTGAAACCATAGCTAATGATTATAGTCTTCGAAGTACACCGTAAGTTTTTTTTATTATAATAATCATTTTTTAATGTTTCTCTTTTTTAAAAAGATACCGGTATACACCGGTACCTTTAGATATTCTTATATTACTATTATTATAGTTCTTTTTGCGAATATTTACGTAAAAATATAAAAACAATTTAAAAGTATATCATTGAATTTTGTATAAATAGTATGTAAAGTTAAAAAGACACTATTTGATCATAATCATTTATGTTCAAATTGTTTTATCTACTTAAATATATCGCTTACTTTCATATGACTAAGATGTACAAAAAAGTCCATAGTTATGATCCATGAGTTTTTTTTTTTTTTCGAAATTGGTATAGTCATGTAAAATGGAATCGATTTACGTCATTAATATAATAGACAAAGATGCGAGATTACTACTATTAGGAATAATCTCTTCTGTAGCTCTTGAATAGTAAAATATAGAAAATATCATTCGATTTTAATTTACCAAAATTTTTAAGCATTATTTATTTATATATACTATTTGTTTTAAACCGAATATAAATTTTGATATAGATACATTGTCAAAATTTGTTTTGTTTGTTGTCTTTTTATTTATTAATAAAATATCAGAAATATAAAAAATTTTAAATAAGGTATAACAGTTAAATATTTTGATTATTAATTATATTAATTTTAATAATAATTATTAATTTTAATTTTAATCTTAAAATTTTAACAAAATTTATATAAAAAAATCAGTATGCTTTTATGTGATATAATATTAAAATGTTATTTTAATGTTAATGTTAAAAATTAAATATTATCAAAAATTTTATATCAATTTTCTAATCTTACTTCTTTAAATATTTTATTAAATATTTTTCTAAGTACAATAGATAATGTTAAATTTATAATTTTACATTTTTATATATAATTATCAGTATAATAAAAAATATAATAAAAAATAGATATGTGAATATATATATATATTTTTTTTCAATATAAAAAAAATAGATATTTCTCAGATTATATTCAGATTATTCTAGAAGTAATTTATATTATGATATATATAGAATATGTTTGATATAATATTTATGAAATTTGAACAATATGAAATTTTATATAAATTAAATTTATATATTGGAATTAATACATAAATATTTTAGATCATGTGTAGCATTCAGTGGAAAAAATCGAATTCTTGGTGTGGCAGCCAAAAATCAAATGGTAACAAATATGAAAAATACCATTCATGGATTTAAAAGATTATTGGGTAGGAAATATAATGACCCACAAGTACAAAGAGAGCTTCAGATGTTACCTTTTAAGGTAACTCATCAGTCAGATGGAAGTATTGGTATACATGTAAGTTCTTTTCATTAAGAAAATTTAATTTTTTTATTATATTAATAAATTATAATATTTATATTATATTAATAATTAAATTATAAAACATATTTGAAGAGGAAAATATTTATGTATAATTTTATAAAATATTATATAAAATGTAATCATAATAAATATATTTCTAAAAACAATAAAATTTTTTAAATATTATATATATTTCATGTGATTTAATATTAACTAGATTCAATCTGGGCATTGTGCCAGATTTCTCACATTTGTGGGAGACTCATATCTTATTTATATCTCTTTAGAGTAGTTAAAACAAGATGAATCACATTGTGTGTAATTTGTGCAATAAAAATGATAATGATAATAGTAATTATTAAATAATGATGATATTTTGATTATAATTATTTCTAAATTTTAGGTACAATATTTAGGAGAAGAACACATTTTTTCACCTGAACAAATAACTGCAATGTTATTCACAAAATTAAAAGATATATCTGAGACTGCTCTTCAGACTATTGTTAATGACTGTGTTATTTCTGTTCCTTCATATTTCACACAAGCTGAGCGTCAGGCATTGCTTGATGCTGCACGAATTGCTGGTTTAAATGTTCTTAGATTATTTAATGAAACAACAGCTACTGCTTTGTGCTATGGCATCTATAAACAAGATTTACCAGCACCTGAAACACCTCCAAGAAATGTAGTTTTTGTTGATTGTGGATATGCAAGCTTACAAGTGAGCATTTGTGCATTCCATAAAGGAAAATTGAAGGTGACTAATAATTAATAATATTAATTAATAACATATTTGTAAGAAAGTAATTAAAAAATTCAGACATAAATATTGTTAAATTTTATTTATAGATGATAGCAAGTACTGCTGATAGTCAATTAGGTGGAAGGAATGTAGATTCTATTTTAGCAGAACACTTTTGTAAAGAATTTCAGTCACGTTATAATATTGATCCACACACCAATCCACGTGCATATATAAGACTATTAGGAGAAGTAGAAAAATTGAAAAAACAAATGTCCGCCAATTCAACAACACTTCCTCTTAATATTGAATGTTTTATGGATGAAAAAGATGTACATGGCGAAATGAAACGAGCAGATATGGAAGCGATGTGTGCACACTTATTTAAACGCGTTGAATCAACTTTACGTCAATGTCTTGAAGATTCTAGTGCGTTTTATTTCTTAATATATTTTGATTAAACATCCATCAATTATATTCTAATTTACAATGTTTTTTTATAGAATTAAAATTAGAAGATATTCATTCAGTTGAATTAGCAGGAGGTTTTAGTCGTGTTCCTGCTATTAAACGATTAGTTGAAGAAGTTTTTGGTCGTACTGTATCTACGACGTTGAATCAAGATGAAGCCGTTGCTCGAGGATGTGCACTTCAATGTGCAATGTTGAGTCCTGCTGTCAGAGTTCGTGATTTCTCAGTAACTGATATTCAACCATATCCGTTAAAATTAACATGGGATCCTACTCAAGGCGAAGAAGGGTATTTTAATTAGTATATTATATATAATATCTAATATTTAGAAAGAATATATTTTTTTGATTTTCATATTATCTATTATTTTAGTGAAATGGAAATTTTTGGACACAATCATCCTGTACCATTTTCAAAAACGTTAACATTTTATCGATCAAATCCATTTACACTCACTGCCAGCTATTCTGTACCACCATCATCATATCCTCAAACTCATATTGGTATGCATTTGACTCTATTTTCTTAATAAGTAAATAAGTAGTATTTTTTTTTTATTAACTGATAGTATTTTTATAGGTACATACACAATAAAAAATGTAAAACCAACGCCAGAAGGAGAGCTATCAAAAGTTAAAGTAAAAGTAAGAGTGAACTTGAATGGCATTCTTACTGTTGTTTCGGCATCACTAATTGAAAAACGTGAACTCACACAACAAGAAAAAGAAGAAGAGGAAAAACAACAACAACAACATCAGCAACAACAAAATAATATGGATGTTGATCAGCAACAAGATAAAAAAGATAAACCTGATCAAGAAGCACAAGCAAATGAACCACCGGCACCTGAGGTATGTATATTTATTATATTTCATTTTTTATTCAAATTTTATTATTGCTTAAAATTATTTTCAATTAGCTTATATGTAACATTTTAACATACTTATAAAATTGTTAGCTATATTTGTTTAACATTATTTAAGTAACTAGTAATGCTAGAATTACTAAAATCATATTTAAAAATAAAATTTATGGTAAAAATGATAGAGTTAAGAAAAATTTATTTTTCTTAGAGATTAACTTTTGTAGAAATACAGTATTCATAATATGCTTTGAGTGTCTGATGCATGATTATGTGAGTTTGTTGTGGTTTAGGTGAGCATGGATAAAACGCGACGGAACTCAGATGCTGATGATGGTGGAAGAGGTGCGAGGGGTTCTGCCCCTTCCTACTCCTCCAGGATTCTCTCTTGGCTCAGCTCGGTACGCGACACACTATCATTACTTGGACCCATATGTTAAATGAAACATGTGCAATAATTTGACTTTTGCTTAAATTGTTTTATTGTTATAAATTATAATGGTAATTACGCGAATAGCTTTTCGTGTGTAAAAGTGGCATAAATTTTTTATTTCTTTCATCGCGTCAGCATCATCAATTATCTGTTATACGATCACTGCAATCATAAAATTTAAAATATCCTGCATGATATAAGAATCGCGTATTATATATTTTATATTTATTATCTTGAAAATATTTTTTTATTAATTATATTTTATCAGATTAAGAAAATTAAAATCTGAAAATTTCAGGTTTATTATTTAATTTAAAGCTTGTAATAAATTGTATTCGTTCTTATGTTTTATTTATAGTATTTCGAATATATTGTAAATTAATCAGATTTTATTTATGTGTGCTTATAAAGTATAAATTGTTCATGAATTAGAAATTTCCTACGCATTGTAGTTTCTTTAGTGCATGATATTTAGTTATGTTTAAAGTTTTAAAATCTGTGTCGATTTCTTCTGCAAACTCGGTTAATTATGCGACGATAATATGAACGAAAGTAATATAATTAGATAAGATAGATTTAATTTTGACAAGATAGAAATTATTTTTGTATTTATAAATATAAACATACATAATATAATTTCATGTAATGTATTTTAATATGGGTCCAAGATACAGCTGTGTCACGCCGTGCTGTCTGTCTTTGCTCAATTATTCCTTTCACTGGGTCGCAGAAGGAAAAGAGACAGTAATATTTAATAATGCAATAATCTTTAATAAATTGCGAAAATTGTGAAGGCAGGCAATGCGGTTTGGTTTTCAATTCGTATAATATTTTGAATTGAAACAATCATCTTTATATTGATTATATATATATATATTATTTGACATATTTTGAATTTAAAGTAAAACGAATTGAAAATTACTCGCATAAGAATAATGCCCCTCTTTGTCCTCTGCTCATTTCTATCATCACCTGATTTCCAGCTTATGTGTGCCTTTGTTTAAAATGTTTTAGTTATTATAATGACATTGTTATATTTATTTTATCTATTTTAATTATAAGTTACTACATGTATTAAAAATTAAATTATGTTTAAAAAATTTTTAAAATATTAGATGAGAAAATTAATATAGAATATTTATTAAGATATATATATTTTTCTTAATGATTATAACAATATAAATAAATTTCAATAAATCTAATTGCAGAAATAATTAAACAGGTAAAACTATTTCATATCAATATTGTATTATTTTTCAGAGCGATGATAAAAATGATGAAAATAAAGGTAAAAAGAAAGTTCCTATTCGTACTATTGATTTACCAGTAGAAATGCGTGAATATGGACTTTCTCAACGTGACTTTGATGCTGCAGTAGAAAAAGAGGTAAGTTCATGTTTACTCACTACAAAATACAATTTTTAATGAGATTTATTTTAATTTGTTTTCTCTTTCTCTCTTTTTGTTATAGGCCAAAATGATCGCTGAAGATAAACAAGAAAAAGAACGTGTAGATGCACGTAATGCATTAGAAGAATACGTTTACGATCTTCGTGCTAAATTATCAGAAGAAGATCAATTATCTACATTTGTTACGGAAATAGATAAAGAAGTACTTTGTCGTACATTAGATGAAACTGAAAATTGGTTATATGAAGAAGGTGAGGACTGTCAACGACAAATTTATTCAGAACGATTAACACGTCTTAAGGTAAATTACATTGTTTTCATATTAAATGTTATTAAATATTTTCTGTTCAAAATTAAAAATTATTTGTTTCTTTTGCTAGTCACAAGGTGAACCAATTAAAGAAAGACGAGTAGAGTTTGAAGGTCGAGGTCACGCACTAGATGATTTATCAGCAGCTTTACAACTTGCTAAAAAAGGGGTAGATCTCATTAGAGCATCCAGTGGAAAGGATGATAAATATTCTCACTTAACAGAAGAAGAGGTAAAGAAGGTTGAAAAAGCAGTACATGAAAAATGGACATGGTTGGAAGAAAAACGCGTACTTCTTGCCAGTACACCTCGCACACAACAACCACCAGTTACTGTAGCACAAATTCGTGGAGAAAAATTGGTATGTAAAATATATATATAAAATTATATATGGAAGTAATAAATTATTATTTACACATTTTTTTTATGTTTCATAGACATTGGATAGTATTGTACTACCAATTTTAAATAAACCGAAACCTAAGATTGAACCACCAAAAGAAGAAAAACCTAAAGATAAAACTGCTGAAGATCATCAAAAAACTCAAAATAGCCAAGGTGATGGTCATATTCAAACTAATCAGCAACAACCCCAAGAAGAAAAAATGGATGTTGAGTAACAATCATCCCATTTTATGTGTTTTAATGCTATTAAATCTATCACGATTAAAATATCGAAAATTATGTCATCACATAAATCATTTTTATCATGTCACAAAAGCGCCTGATATATTTTTAGTTAGCACATGTGATTGATTGTTTTTTCTCTTCTTCTCCTATCACAATCATCGATGTGATAAGTTTATGTATTTATGATGGACTGTATCATTAATTTAAGTATATTGAAATCTGAAGAATTTTTATCATAAATCATTAAAAAAAGGACATGTGTACGTTTTAATATAGTAATTTATGTAAGACTATTTCTTTCAAATAAATTATAATAAGTTAAGATTGACGTGAAATTCAAGATATGATTTTTTAAAATTATTTCATTAATAGTACATTTGTTACATTTTTGAAAATTAACCATTTAAATTAAAAGAAGATGACATTTACAACAATTTTATTTCAATTTCAAGAAGTTATAAATATCTTATAATTAAAAAAAAAAAAAAATTACTTCAATTTTTAATATGCTTTTAGAAAAGTGTAACAAAATTTATCAATGGAGTACTCTAAAGAGTTTCCTGATTTCATTGCCAGTAGAAAGATTTAATACATTGTTACTTATAATATATAGGACAAATATTAAGTTAGAGCTAATAACTAAATTAAAATGTGAAGTAGTTAATATCGCTGGCGATCTTATGTATTTAATACAATAAGTATTCATTCCAACACTTTTCTAGGCCGACAGCGAAATATTCTGTCATATAAACTTTTGTTGCATTTACAATACTTAAATAAATTAATATTTCATTAATGAAGTTTATTAAGCTTGTTCTAGGATTTGCTAAAGCTTCGTGTGTTTAAAAGAGCTGCTAACCTAAATCGTGTACAATTTATGATACTTTAATTATCGAAGCTTTGATGACATGAAATTTCTAAAAATGAAAAATTATAGTTAGGTATATTGTACATAATTAATAGTTTTTCATAAAAGTAAAAAATATTTTCTCGTTTGATCTGTGTTTCAATTAATTTGATATCTTTTTTTGCAATTCTTGCAAAGATATTATTTTATCTAGAATACTATTCTTCTTCATTGGTACTACTAAAAAAAATCAGTGGTATATTGTTATGTTGTATTATATTAATTACAAATTCATTTTGTTATTTATTCTTTCTTGAAGACAAAAAAATAGCTTCTATTCAGTATCATTAGGGGCGGATTTGTATTAAACTTTTGTAATAATTGTTTGTATTTCTTAATTTTTTCTAAAAATTCATATATCAATATATTTTCTACATAGCTATCAAAATTATCTGCCTAAAGAATTATAAATTCGCTCCTGATCTAGTACTGTGATCATAAAGTGCACTATAATTAATTTATCCATCTGATGTGATGTATTGAGGCACTATAAATTATAAAATGTACTACGAGGTTTCTCAAATATAAAAGTAAAATGTGTATAATGGAATTATATTCCATGTAGATGTATGTATATTGCAAAGTTTGTGCTGTACAATATGCAAATATTGTGTGGGAATGCCATTGCTTTTTTTATTTAGTAATTATGTTCCATTAATTAATACAAGTACAGATAAACCTTCCCTTTGCACAATTCACAGTATTCAATAAAAAAACAAAATATCAACAAAGAAGTAAGCGATTGCAGAATGTAATGCAATATAATGTAACATTTTTTTCCGATAATTATACACGAATAAATATGTTATCCAGAAAGTGTATTTAATTACATACATATTTCAAACAAAAAAAAAAAGATTAATCTCGTTTCGTTTGTGTCTTTGATTGATCATCGAAATATGCACGATATATAAAAGATCCTAGAGCCACGTGTAATACGAGAATCGCAACTGCAGCTGAATATACATTACTTGGCACATGATTAAGCCCCAATAAACCTAAAATATATAAAATATATTTCAATACATTTAAAATCTTATATTGAAATCAAATTGATAAAAAAATAATATAATATTAACATATAATCAACATAACATCATGATCAAAATTATTTATAATTTAGTATATTCAATAATTTATATATACAGTGAAGAATCAAAGTTTTCATTCACTATTTTCCAAATAAATTTACAATATATATGAGTTATACAAGTAAAAGAAATTAATTTTATAATAAATAATAAATAAATTAATTTAATAATTTTTTAAATTTTTTACTTAAATATCAATGTCTAGATTTTAGAACTATAAAAAACATTATTTAACATGAATGTTAAATATTCAAAAAATGAAAACTGACAATTGATTTCATTTCCTCAAAGATTTCTGATTGATAAAAAAAATTGTGCAATCCATTATTTATACTTATTATTTTAATATATAATTTTATAATTATTAATATATTAATATTATATATTTACATAAAATTTTCATTAACATTAGAATTTTTAAGTTATTTCTTTTTGTTCTTCACTATATAATATTGAAAGTATAGATAAAAAGCATAGAATATTGGCTGTTAAATTAAAAATTTTAAGAATTTTTTCAGATAATATTTATGTAAATATATATTCTTTAACATTTTTTTTAAAAAAAAATTATAATTCATATATTTGCTAAATATCAAAAATATCAAATGATTATAATAATATTATTTGTTTTCATACCATCAAAAATAAAAATCTTGCTAGTAAAAAAATGACAATACAGGTAAGGCTATTATCACTACACAGTGAAATAATACTGTTTTAAAAACTTGTAATTCTGGTAATTCCTGAAAATGAAAATATTATTATATTTACATCATTAAAAAATGAAAACATTATTATATTTAAATATATACAAATGTACATCATAATAAATTAAAATGATAGTAATGAACATACCTTCATATTTGCCATGATATAATTTATTACTTTTAACACAAAATTTTATTTAATGAAATTCAACTATGATATAAATTTAACAAAATTTAATAATATACATGTAATATTATCATTATATTATTAATATTAGAAGAATATTATTTGATATTTATTTAAAGTATAAATTGCAGAATTACATAAAAAATTGTAAAATCATTCTCCTTTTTTATTTATGCACTCTATTTTATTGAGGGACATATATACAATTTTATATATAATATGTATAATACATGTAATTTCGTATAGTAAAAAGTTAAATTAATTTCCAATTTTAATAAATAACAATGTAATAAATTCGTATATTCCTTATGTTTCAAATTGTTAGGTTATGTTATTCAATATTACATAGACAAGATATAGAATAGACTTACATTTTATGGAATTTTAATATGTCATAATCTGAATTACCGATTGTGCAAAAAATTATAAATTAGTAATGATTGAAATTCAAATTTAATTTTATATTAATAACTATTAAAATTAATATATATGTTATTTTTTATATGTATTTTACATATATAAATTAATTTTAAGTATTGCAAGGAATTTACTTTTAAGAAATCAGTATAATGCTGATGCATACATTGTTACGGATGTCTGCATATAAATAAAATTTTATATAATAATAGCAATTTCTTTTTGCAAATATTTCGAAAAAGTCGATTAGTTATATATAAAATTATTCAATATTTTAAAATTATCGAAATTGAAAAAGATGTAGCTTTTTTTATAATTTCACCTTCCAAAAATATTCCACTATGTATATTATATTAATATTAACACTGTATATAACAATATATTTATATAATATATATATAAATATATATATGTATGTAAAAAAGAAATATATATAAAACATATATATACAATAACTTGAATAGATTTTCTTATCTTTAATCAAATAGAACTTATTAAAATTTTTTTAATTAATAGGTTAGACGAAGAAAAGAAGAAATAATTGCAATTGTCTCGAGTGTTTTATAAAGCAACAAATTTTATAAAGCAATGATGGTCAAGCAGAATAAATAAGAATGAGAGAAAGATAGAGAGAATAGGATAAAATTAGAGAATCAATGCCATTTCTAAAATACCGTAAATGAAATAGAATAGGTAAAAATAATAAATAATAGGAAAAAAAATAGAGATGAAGTAAGAATTGATTGTAACTATCATCTTTTGAGTTGTAAAAATATTTTTCAAAATAAAGTAGAGTAATAATTGAAAGTCAGTGCCATTTTTTGAATACTTTTAAAAAATCTTTTATATCTAATTTATAGCACTGATTTTTAATTTTTATTCTTATGCTTTTTGAAATGTTTTATAAATGCGATATTTATGAATGGTGTGTGAGTATCATAGACGAGATATAGAATCAATTGAATACACTTTTATCATTTTTTTTTCAAAATTATAATATATTTTAATTTTTAAAATAATAATCTAGATAATTAAGATAATTAAAACAATAAGTAAAAAATATAGATATTACTTTGGTAGATTTACAATGTATCTCAAATGATGACCTCGTAAAACAAAATATACTTTAATATATCACATAAATTTTTTGTTTGTCTTACGTATAAAATGCATATTTCATGTACATTTATAAAGTATTTTGTAACAGAATATTTTTTTTATTTATATTAATTATATATTAAAATATTCTAAATATTATTAATATTACAATGTTATTAAGCCGAATTAATAATGTTAAGTATAATACTAAAAATAAAGAATTTATGTTCAACACATAAAATAAAAAGTACATTGAATAGATATTAAATATATATTAGATCATTAGATCTATTTTATATTTCGTTTATAATTATTATGTCAAATTTTTATATCAAAGATTTTTATATTTATTTAATTGCTTTTCATCCCATTAGTATTATTTCATTCGATTTGATAATATCAAATCGATAATATCAAATTTGACACATAATGGTAATCGAGGCTACGTTGTCCCAGAACTGTGTTATAAAAATGCATTGAATAAGAAATCTATTCTGTATCTAGTCCGTGGGTGCACATTCATACCTTTTCGTTAACATTTTCGTATCTAGTTGAAAGAGATTGTCACACTTCGCAATATATTTTATTTATGGACAGTGACTGAAGCGCAATATCAGCATTAGAGCTGATTCATTAATTGTTTACAGGAATGAAGATTAAAAATAATACGTTGTAGCAATACGTGTTACTGGCGAAAAAAAGTATTAGTAATTAATTTCTAAGTATGGGATGTTGTTACAGTTTCTGTAAAGAAGACAGCGGTCCGCAGGTAATAAATCATATTATTGCAATCATATTTTAAAACCTAATTTATCAGAAGTTAAATATATATAAAATTTTTATCACAATTCTGCTCAATCAAATATAATATAAAATAATTAATATTTTTATATAATTTATATATAGAATTTAAATCAAACTTAAGTAAAAAAATGCGTTTTTTATTTTAAATTATTTAATATAATTTTTCTATTTATTTATTTTTTATAGAGTGGAGAAGTAAATGAAAGGACACATTTGTTAGTGGATCCTGTTAGTAATAACACAAATATACCTAGAGTACATAGGTATGTTAAAATATATATATATATATATATATTATAGCATTAGAAAATAAGAATTATGAAATTTTTTTGTTCTTTTTTCTTAGCGATGATTATGTTAACCAATATGCAAGTTCAGTACCCAAAAAAACAGATGAACAAAGTGCATTAAATAGAATTTTACATGAAACAGCTGCGTGAGTATTTGTTTATTTTTTTAGATTTATATATTTATGTTATCTCTTTTATAGTTATTTTATACAATAATATAATTGATAATATGAAAAATGAATTTATTGTATTAAAATATTTATAATATTTTAATATTTATATTAAAATAATTAACAAATATTTAATTTTAGTAATGTGATAGATGTTGGAGCATTAGATTCGCACAATTTAGAACAGCATGAATATATGGATAGATCACGTGCATATTCAAAACGTATAGAAGCTGGAGGTATTAAAGTCCCTGATAGTACATCCTGTTTACTTAAAGATGTCCCTGCTCCAGAAAAAATATTAGCAGCAGATCCTCTTGCAGCTGGAGATCATGGGCTGGTAAATATATAATATTTTTGTATTGTTATATGTTTAATGTTTACAATTTATTGAATAATTACTTAAATTTCATTCACAGATTACAGAAATGCTCAATAAGGCTGTGACAGCATTAGAAGATGTAAATGTTGAACATAAGGAAGATTTAGTAGTTCCTTTCTTATCGTGATCTTTTGGCATTTCCTCAGCAGGATTATATCCTGCTTGAGTGAAATCATTGTACTATGTGACATTAAAAAACATGTCTTTTCAAAATCAATTTTCAATAAGTTAATCTGAATTTACTTCAGATTTTACTTGAATATGAATATTGATTATGCATTATAATATGGTGTATTATAAATGAAAGTACAGGTACTATTTCTTAATAACATGTTAAAGTGGCTTGACAGTTTCTGAATATACGAAGTTGTTTTAAAATGTTACAAATTAAGATATTTCCAAACGACCAGTTTTTAATGAAAGAGCTGAATTTGGTAGTGCTTTTCCATAACTTATATATAATACTGTAAAAAGTTAAAACACTGTTATTAGTCTTCGCTAAGATGTATATCAAAAAATAATATAAAAGGGCTATTTTGTCATAATTTAATAAATGCAATTTACTTATAAATTTATCATTTTTCGCATTGAAATTGCAAAAATTAAATTTTATTGAATCAATAAATAATTTTTTTTAATTTTATTTCAGCATTGAAAACATTTCTAACACATAAACATAGATAAAATGTAGATTCAATAACAATCAATATTCATAAATGACTGAAATATTTACATTATTTATATTATAAATTGTATATTTTAATTATATTCACATTTTGTTTTTTTATATTATATAAATTTTGTCTCCTTTCTTATTTCATCTTTATTATATTGTTGCAAGATGTGTTTGTATAATGTCTCAAACAATCAAATTCCTAACTCAAACATACATTTGTGATATTTATATAAATTAATGCTATTATTAATGTTATATTTTCTAATCATTATCACTCTTCTTATATGTATTTTCTTTCTCACAAACAAAATTTGTTAATTTTATATTTTATTAAATGTATAATAATTGTTGTTTCACTTATGATTCTTTATTCATTTATATGCGTTAAATAAATAATAAATTACAAAATGACATATTATTTATGAATAACAGTTAATTTGAATGTGAAAAGTAATTATGACCAGTAAATAATGTTCAAACATTGTATAATCGCACTTGTTACATCATTAACACATTGCAGCTTATTAAAGTAATAAAAACAAATCAATTTATTATTTAAAGTATACATAAATGTATAAAAATTGTCAATATTTCTTATTCATTATTTTGTTAAAAAAAAATATTTATTTTATATTTTGTTACATTTAAATACTTCAATATTTTTGCATATTATAACTATACAATATATGATTACTTTTCATTTTTAAAAAAATTTTTTGCATTTTCACTTATATATGTCCAAATAAAATAAAATATTTAAAAACTTTGATTTTACATAGAATCATTCAATAAATTATTTACTTTTGAATTTATATTTATATTTATCAATTATTATCAATAATTTTCGAATTTTAATTAATAATAAAACGCGATGAGCATCGAGAATTATTGATGATTAATATGGATGATTGTAAATCGATTTGAAAGGAAGCGGGAAATAAGCTGTTAGGAACGCGCGAAGTTTGATGAGAGCGCGGGAAGTAGGTAGTGGGGATAAGTCAAGCCAGTAGATTGGTTAGGCACATCATGGCGCGGAGGGGCATCGACCGGTCTGGCATCGGGCTGCTATCGGACTGGCAGGTCCCCCCGTTCAGTGCCACCAATACACAAGAGCCGAGGACTCTCTATCGCCGACCATTGGTCCTCAATTTGCCGACCAATCATTGGGAAAGTGCCCACGAAAATATCCAATGTAAGTCCACAAATTATCAAACATCAACGGGGTACGCGTACGACCGCGCACCGTTGTACGATTAACCGCGTTTTCGTTTTGTGTGCTGTTTCAACTGCAAACTCGTGACTTCTTGAGCTTGAAAAACTCTTTCTGCACGGCCATGTTTGTCAAGACGAGCGTTTCTCGTCCGAAATTCGTGTCGATCCATGGCGAGCATATCGCGTTCAAAGTACTATCCAGCAGACTTGATCTCCGTTTTGTACATCAACATTTGCCGCGTGTTAAGGATTACAAAAATATGACGTTAATCATGCCGCTGAAAACAGGATACAA